AAATAAATCATGGTTGTACGGCAGTGAAGCATCGGTGTTGAACACTGATGTCACGCTCTCAATGATGATGATGATGAAACTCAGTCGGGTCGGAAAGTTCTGTTTCCCTTGATGGGGACCCCGGGACTCTACTCACAAGTTGCTAGTGACACTGGTATAAATAGCTCGGTCGCGCGGTCTTTGGCGTTCCTGTATCAAAGCTGTCGCCTTTACTGCGTAGCTACCCGATTTTTGAATGAACTAAGCATAACACAGCCTCCAAGTCTTGAACGTATGTCCCACATTTCCATTTTCCGGTGATCAAAACTGCAGTAGCTGGGACCAATGTGGCTATGATACATGGTTTGTAGTTGATAAACTGTCTTCTATGTATCAGAGAAAGGCTGTGAAACTCCTAGGCTAGCAGCTAGAATAAGAATCCTATCATTTAACCAACAAAGCACCATATCAAGTAATCACTTATTCGTGAACACCATCGGCGAGACGGCTGTGTAGAGTGTCATGTAATCATGCCAAAAAGAAAAGTAGTTTTAATTCTCAACAGGGCCCCTTAGTGAAAAGGCAAGGCCAAAATGCGTAGATTGTCACAAAGCTGTGTACATATTCGACAACAGACAAATGTTCTTCATTGTTACCATTACCAGCAACACGCCTGTGTTAGGTACTGGTGCTTTTCTAACAGAAGATCACGAAGGGAGCCTCAGTAAAGAGTGGAAAGAAGGATAAGGGGAAGGGATTTAATGCAGAAAATGTCCTGTGTGCTTATAGAAAGCGATTACGAATATTGCCTACAACTTTGAAAAGCACCAGAATAAACCCATCGCAGCATTTTTTGAATTAATGTGCCATCAGAAGGTTGATGGCACCCAACATAAGCCCTCGTCCAAACACAAGCAAGCTTTGGCTATTCACTCTGGCCAGAAGAGGACAGCACGGTCCCTACCGGGATTGGTTGTGTGCCATGCCCTAGAGGGTCTATAACCCTCTATAAACAGGATCGCGTGAGCCCCAGCTAGAAAATGCGAATATTTCACAACTCTCAGTTAACTGTAACTACTTTCATTCCACGTAAATATGTCATGGTCTGTTCCTCACCCTCGCCAACGCTTACTTGGAACGTTAAACAGCATGTTACTGAAAACACAGTGATTGAGCGTACAACTTTAGCACGATGAGTTTGATACGCTGCTGTAACAAATCAGATCCGTTGTCACAGTGAGCAATGAAACCTCAGCCAACAAAACCTTGTGATATATCACCACCAATGTCACCTGCCTTAACCAATGCAAAACCACTCAAACTCTGTAGTCTGTAGCGCCTAAAGAAACGAAGTGTCGGAAGCTTATTCACTACACTAGGATTCTGTATCCCAGTTTGAGAGATGCAGCAGATTTCACTGAACGCCGTATCTTCAGCATGCGCAAGCACGCCCATATGCCTTAGAGTTTTCAGATTTATAGAAAACGAGGCATAACTAGCGGATACGGATGAATAAGTGTGTGTGTTAGCGTGCAACAAATCAGATCGATTAGTACCTGGTTAGCGTGTCCAGGAGTGTAATCTACAGAACGGCAAAAGTTCAGTAGGTTGGGACAGGGGTTACGAGATAAAAGGAGCCAGTAGTTGCGTGTGTTCGCTTGTCCTTCTTGCCGTATGCGTCTGGGAAAATGCGGCCCGGCTGAAATCATCGCGTGACGGCTAATGTGACATAGAGGTTCTTCTATCTGTAATGTTCATATTTATGTGTTGAGCTACTGCCAGGAAGTACAGTTCTGGACAGAACGACAACCGAAGTTCCGCACCAAAGGCTTCCATCTAAACGCTTGACAGCAAACTGATATTGGTCAGCTTGGGACTAATCAGGTAGCTCAGGTGTCAAGAAACAAACTGCTACACAAACGACCCACAATTTAAAGGAGCAGGAGACTAAGTTTGTCAGATATGTATCCAGTGAACATCCCAAAGAGGGGAAACTCTATGGGTGTCACATAGCAACCTTCCAGCATAGCACAATGTGTTACCAGGGTAAGCAAACCGTCGCACCACGATAAATTCAAGTCTTTCTGCGTGACCTTGCTGCTGGTGATCTGCTTAGTGGACGTGAAAAGAATCTACAATAATAGGCCTGTGGTTCTGGTGTGTGATGACCCAGTCAAGCGTGCACACAACGCGCTTCGAGTGACCTGAAATCGCCTCGAGGATACTACAGGATTTGAAGTTGGGAAAGCAGCTCGCTCCAGCGCTGTGCACATGCTTGGATGCAAATACATATGTCTAATGCTTTCGTGAAATGTGTCTAATAAACTATACAGGTGAAAAGGTTTAAACTGATACATAGGCTGAAGATTCGTGACTTGGCACTAAAATTAGATGAATCTCTCTCAAGAAGTTTATGGGCACAAAGATGTCGTAACGGAGGTAAAAAAGGACCTGAC